TCATGTAGCTTAAAAAAAAAATAGATATAATCACATGAATGCTATTTCAGAAACAGTTTCAACAGTATCACAGAATCACAGAATTGAATCACAGAATGTCAGGGATTGGAAGGGACCTCAAAAGATCATCCAGTCCAACCCCCCTGCCAGAGCAGGAACCTAAACAATTTTACACAGGAAGGCGTCCAGGCGGGTCTTGAATGTCTCCAGAGAAGGAGACTCCACACCCTCCCTGGGCAGCCTGTTCCAGGGCTCTGTCACCCAAAATAGTTGAAAATACAGAGAATTATTGCCAGCCTAGCTCTAAACTAATTCTTGCTTCCTCCAAAAAGAGGAGGACAAAGCTTTGCTATTAATGGTTGACTCAAAAACTACTCTGCTGCCCACACTTTAAGAAAAAAAATAAAATTCTAAGAAAGTCATTAACAATTTTGCCTAAAATCTAAACCATGGTCATATAATAAAATCCTACAGTCTAGATCCATACATCCAGACTTACGTGGGTATTAAGACGATAGGACATGAGTTCAAACTCCCCGTCAGGTGGAATGAAAGAGATGGTCCTGTCGTTTTCAAAGCGAGAGAGACGAACGCACTGGTGAAACTTCACATCTTCCAGTTCTACTGATTTACTTTTGCCACCTGGCAGAAAAAACACATTTCAGGGTGCTACACAAATTATGTCCAAAATCTCATCACAGTCAGTTACAGAGTAAAGTAGATGTCTGCTGACACTCCTCCCTTTGAGACAATGCTTTCTTTATGTGTCCACAGGTTTTCAGCACTACAGGAGTCCCAATGAAGAGAAATGAGGAAGCCTGGATGGTTCCTGTGCATCACCATGATGTTCCACCTTTGCTCGTCACACAAGACCTCATGCAGTTTTCTACACTGACAAAGGGAGCGTTTCTGTCATCTTAGAACAAATCCTTTCAGCTGAATGTCAACTACCCCAAGAACCTAAGACTTCAGATAACATCTTTCATTAATTATCGAGGTGTCACCAAAATACTCACGGCCTGTATTATCAAAGAGAACTTTGTCATTTAAACCGAGGCGCAGCTCCGGCATTCCCGAGAGGAAGACTCGCATTTTAATGGATCCAACTATCTCGCTCCGTAAGACATTTCCGTTGGCACTGACCTGGACAAAAACAAAAAGAAAGGTAAGATTACTCTGATGTGATACCTTGCGACATCAAACACCACTCCCACCCCATTCCTGTGTCCCAAGTTTTCTTGGATGTCTTTCTCCTGAGAAATTAATCCAGTAGAGTAGAATTAGGTCAGGGAGGCGATGGGCAGAGATAGAGGAGGAAAGGATGTGTCAGAAATACATAATCAGATCTTCCGGGGAGATCTTATAGCTGCCTTCCAATACCTCAAGGGGGCCTACAAGAAAGCTGGGGAGAGACTTTTCATAAGGACAACTAATGATAAAACAAGGGGAAATGGGTTTAAACTGAAAGAGGGGAGGTTTAGATTAGATATTAGGAAGAAGTTTTTCACTGTGAGGGTGGTCAGACACTGGAACAGGTTGCCCAAGGAAGTTGTGGCTGCTCCTCCCTGGAAGTGTTCTCGGCCAGGTTGGATGAGGCTTTGAGCAACCTGGTCTAGTGGAAGGTGTCCCTGCTGCTGGCAGGGGGGTTGGGACTGGATGAGCTTTAAGGTCCCTTCCAACCCAAACCATTCTATGATTCTATGAAATCAGCAATACACTGAGTAAAGCACCATTTGTCTGCTGGATGTCCTTACAGGTACTGTCTCAACAACCAACACTGTTTTGAGCATCACAGTACACCAACCACAGTCAGTGTGACTTTTCTTTGTGCCCTTGTATGTTTTCAGACAATAAGCCCTTTTCAACACTTCCCAATACAATTCTCATTAGAAGTTAAAGGAAAAGGTACCCACCAAAAGGTTAACAGACTCTATAACATCCAGGAACACTTCATTTTTCCTGTATTTTATCCCTTCTGATCTCCACGAAACAGCATTCGTAACAGTGGCAGGTGGACGTGGAGCTCCAGTTTCAAGTTTGTGACCTTCCTGAGTGATGTACCTTTACAGCCACATGAAAAAACATAAAATTAATGTTTCTGCTAACTAGACCAAGCCAGAGCATTCACTTCCATATGGAAAAATGCTCAAAACCTTCCAAGGAGTTTGTTACTCTAAGTGATGCAGAATGATACTTACTCTTGTAAAATTTTACTATCAGTGGTTTGTGGATAACCAAAATCCATAAGCTCATCTAACAACTCATAAATAATAACAAAATTATCCCTAATGCTCTCTTCTTCCAACTCCTTGAAATATTCAGAAAAAACCTGAAAGAAAGTGACAGGAGGGAGGGGATAAAAGAAGGATGTTAACTGAGGGAGCACAGCACGTCCAGAATGTATTACTGCATGTAAAATATCTTTTAAAAAGCCCCAAACCAAACCCCATAAGTCACAAACAGCATTCTGTTCACAAGATCAGCCTCAGGAAACCCACCTCAATGAAAAGAAAGCCAGAGAATCCTAGGAGCACCTCTAACTATTATGAAAAATATTTATTCTGGAGAAAATATTTTTCATGCCAGGTACAGATGAACCAAACATAGAATCTATACGATAACGCCACTACACATGCATCAAGTTCACAATCCTCCTCTGTGTTCTCAGGTCTTGTGCAACTACTTACAGCATCGGGTCACATCCTTTGCCTACTCAGCTACAAAATATCAATTCCATTATTAGTGGTTAGGAAGATAGTTCTATAAAATAATCAAATATAAAGTAAAAATGCTATTACCACCGAGTTCTTTAAAAACACGAAAGTTCTATCACTTCTATTTAGATCAGGTTTAGACTGAACAGCAAAGGAAGATGGAGATAACTTTTGAAATTTCACACTCACCTGAACTACTTTATATAAAAATGAAAACACCAGTGACACACACGCATTTTTCTTAGAAGTTGCAACAACTGATAAAGGAAGTTCAGGAATAAGCATTGAAAAAAAAACTCTAAATGTTAGTGCATTTTTAAAAGCCTTTAGGCAATTAGAGTTAGCCAAAAAACCCCCTAAGAGTTAATTAATTAATTAACAGTACTTCTGGCCAGATATGAAGAATAAACATTTAGAAAATAAATTTAGAATAAAATTAATATAAACACTTTTCATTACACTATGTAAAAGTATAAAACAATTTTATCTAATAGAGCCTCCTTATGTCACTTCAGCCATTCTCCAGCTTTGCATTTAGACTCAAACCACACAAATAATAAAGCAGCACTTGGCACACCAGCCTGTGAGCTCTCTGCATCCAAAGGATACGATACAAGTTGTTATGTTTAATCCACATAAAACGAACTCCTCCATGTGCTAGAATAGGAGAAAGTGTCCCCTCTTCTTCCTTTTCCATAAGGATCGGCATAAAATGCTCCACCTCCGACATGTCCACATCTCCACGGTAATTCCGGCAGATGAGAACCTATGAAGAAAGCAACAATTTTTGGTATTTTTTCTCTATTGTGAGATGTTATCATGTGAGACTAACGCACAGGATATTGGGAAGGCCTCTCTTTAGTCACTTTTTTAAAGTCCCCAAGCTTCACTCTAGCTTCTATACACCGTATAAATGCAAATCACAACGCCAAGCACCCTGCTGCTCCGAACACAAATCCTGAGCTCTCACTGCCGTGCCGTGGGTTGTTTCCTTTCAGAGTTCCTCTCCACCTCTCGCTGCACACGCCCGGGTGATGCTTTTCAACTCCCCTGAGACAAACGACCTGCAATTACGGCTGAGATTAATTAACCCAGGGGCTCCGCTGGCACATCTGCCACCCCCCACTATCCCCCTCAGCAGAGGTGACACCGGCCACGACCCGGACCCGCAGCGCCAGGTAGAAGCGGGGCGGGCAGGAAGGAGCGGGGCGGAAGGGGAAGCGGCTCCCGCAGACCCCAACCAGGCGGGGGAACC